CATACAAGAGAAATCATGGAATATTTAAGCTTCTTTGTCTGAGTTACTTCACAACATTATGGTCTGAAGATGAATTCACTTTCATAAATTACTCATGTATCCTTTTTTATGGCAGACTGGTACTCTATTGGGTATAAATATCATATTTATTATCAATTCATCTATTGATGAACATATAGGCTGTTTTCCGGATTTAGCTGTTACGTATTGCACAGTTGATTTCTTGATAGTAACTAATGATTTGTGAATAAATGAATTATCCATTTTTCAGAAGTTATTACTAGGCTGTAGCCTCAAGTTAATATATCCCGTTTGTATGATTCTCTCGAATAAAATATTTTGAATTTTGACATAATTTTAGAGGGCATATCATGTTTATGCTTTTTGATGTCATATATTTTCTTCAAATATTAAAGTTTGTTTGGGTCTCATTTAAAAAAAAATAGTTGGATTTTAGCAAAATGAAATATAGAAGCCAGTGTCAGTAACTAGAATACACACAGGCTGACAGATGAAAAAAAAAAGAAAAAAAAAAAGCATTTGGATTCTTTACATTCTTGCCAGTCTGATGCCTTAATACAATCAGCAAAGTGCTGCAAGGATTCTGCTTCTGTTTATTCATCAAGTAAAAAAATGCAAATTTTCCCTTCCCTTTTGGATATAAAGTCCTGTGAAATATGATAAAGTAAAAAGAACGCTTGAATAACAGAATTACATAGACATGTCCATTACAAGAATGAGAAATATTTTTGATTATTCATTAAGTACTATGTGAAATATATATTAAAAAATCTAGTAGATATCCTTTGCAAGAGAACAACTAATATACACTTTAGAGCAATTATTTTTTATCTTTAAATGTTACCATTAAAAAATCTCAATCTAAAATTTAGTCCTGCAGTGATATATGTTAGAAAGTGTCAATGAAATGCATTCACATCTAATTTGAGCCCCACCTGGATGTTGGAATCTTAAAAATAATAAACTTTACTACCCTATAACCTTTAAAACAAATACTTTGTGATGGATTTGTCACCTTGTAAGTAATTGGTTTGAAATTTTTGTGAATAGCTTTGAAAGCACACATTCACTATCACTTACTGTACAAATGCATGCCTATCTTAAATCCTGCAGATTATATTTATTTGACTTCTATCTCTTAAATTTGGTTTCTGTATTGTTTGCAATCTAAGAGATAAAGTTTGTTTCTATTTTCATTTTAGACTACCTCATGAATACACATACCGATTATGATACCCATCATATGCTATTTGCAAATGAAATTGTGCATATGCACATCACATACACCATCTAGCTACTTGCATATCACATATATAAACATACAGTAGAAGTAAAAATGTGTTTTGCCAACTCTACATCAGTTGAGAAGTTGATTTAGAAATTCCTTTAATATCAAACACTCATGGTAGATATTTTTTTCTATATTATATTTAAAAATACGGGCTCATGATGCTTCTGGATGCCTGGAGGCAGGCATTACCATGCCGAAAGAGACTCTCTTTACGTCCTTGAAGGAGTCTGAGAATGCATCTGTACAGGCCTTTTCTAAATGCATTTGCCAGCTTACGGACAGAAGAACTAAAAAAGTTGCTAACATTACTGAAAAGTAGAAGTCATTCAAGAATCACATGCTTAGGACTGAAAACGGTTGTTTTTCTTTTTCCACATAACACAAATGAAACATTTCTGGTTCTCCCATCCCTCTGTTACCTTCAATGTTAAAGAACAACACCCACCTGGCTAGTATTATGCGCGTCTCCTAAAGGCATAGAAAAATCCCTCCGCACCTACTTATAACCATCACGACTCTATCCCAAATAGTAGCCAGTCACAAACAACCAGAAGTTTCTCAGTAAAATAGGAATTGTAACATTCGTTCCACCAGTAAAGTCAGTGGAATGTAGTATTTGTCTTGTTGCCAGGTAACCTGAAAATTAGATCTTGTTTATTATTCAGTAATAGGTAAGTCAAATTATTTATTTCCTCTAAGCTTTATTTCTACCCTTTCTAAAACTGCAGTAAACAGGATTGACACGTAAGTGCTGGATGTTACATAAAAATAAGAAAATATTATGAGCTTATTTTAGCCTCACTAAATTATGTTTCCAAACTCTTTAGAAGGGTTAAATATTATGCTTGTAAATTAATTATTTAAATTATAATTTGAAGTATCTTAGAACTATTTTAACTTATTGTATGGTTCCTGGAAAATCAAATATATGAGGCATGAGTCTTTAAGCTTCTTTCTGTAATATTGTTGGTAACAAAAAAAGAATGGAATAGATCTATATTTGACATCGATTCATTAATTAATTTATACACCTCGTGGTGTTTACAAATATGATTTATTTTCAAAATTAAATACTTTGTTAATTATTATGATTCTGTCACCAGTATGAATAAAATAATAATAAATGAGCAATTTATGAATAGAATTCCATTGCTTTATCTAATTATGAATCTTCACATAACCATGTACTTAAAAATTATGCATTGTAAGCATTTTTAAATGTTCTCCTCGGTAGTAGTTTCCTGACCGCTCTTTTTGACACATCAATGAAAGACCTATTCCAGAGCTTCAACAATTTTCCACTTGTTTTCTTTAAATCCACTTGTCAAGGCAATTTTCAAACTTTCCTAAAATGAAGCTCCAAGAAATTAATTAGTTTGTTTGATTATATTTTTCACTGCATTGCTCTCAGCCAAAAAAAAAAAAAATCTCTTTTAAGTTGCAAAAATAGTTTGGTGATCTCCATTCACAATTTGCGTTACTGGCTTTGAATATGGCTCTAAGATATCTTTTTTTAGTTATTGCTCATGTTTTTTCTCATAAAAAAACGTGGACATTTGAAATATCAAAGCACTAAAGTCATTAGTTAAAGTCTCTAAATAAATCTTATTTTTTAAACTTTTATTAACGAACAAACTGCAGATACAGTAGCTTACTCCAAAGTAATGGGATACTCATTCAAATGGCTTTCATTGCTTTTATTGAACATAATATCATATTTTAGACATCTTTGACTCTTTTATTATTCTATTTTCAAAGATGAAATTTTAATGTTACTTTTTAATAGAAAAATGTTTAAAATACTAAACTCGTTCAATATATCTGTACATCCTATTTGTTTTGTATGGAACTCATTGAAGTTATGTCTTAAATTTAATGTAGCTCCTTTATTTATATTAAGTATGTGGGACAGACACAAAAACACCAAGGATGATCAGACTGAATTACAATGTAACCAAATTATTTTTACAATGACATGCCTTGTACTTTGCAAACTCATTAAAAAATACATTCTATTTGCTCTCTTTTGAGTGTTCAGCACTATTTTACAGATGAATGAGTTGATGTTCACTATTCTGTTCAAGTTCTGGTTGAATGATGTTCTTCTAGCATAGTGCTCATATCTTAAGACTAATAATAAGATCTTTTGAATAGCACTTTTTAAATCTGAATGACAATAAGTTATAATCTAGCATCAGTAAGAATGGCTATTTTCCAATGAACTATAAATAACACATGCTTATGAGGAAGTGCAGTAAAATGACCTCTCATAAAATATTGGTGGGTATGTAAATTAGGGCACTTATTATGGGAAGCACTATGTATATTCCATTTCTACTTCTGGGTATATGTCTAAGAGAAATGAAACTAACACACCAAAGAGATGACACCAGGTCCCTGGTTATTGTGGCACTATTCACAATAATGGAACAACAACAACAACAAAATGGAACCAGCCATAGTGTTCATTAATAGATAAATAAAAGAAGCGTGGTATGTATACACAGGGGAATACTATGTTTCCATAAAAATGAGTGAAATCCTGTCTTTCAGTGAGGAGAAGTGACGCTTATCTGGAGTCCTGGCAGGCTGGGCGGTTGAGGCAAGAAGATCACAAGTCTGAGAGCAGCCTAGGAAATCTAGAAACTTAGTGAGGGCCTGTCTCAAACTGGAAAAAAAAATAAGAAAAGAAAAGAAAAAAAGCTGTCATTTGAAACAAAATGCATGGAATTAGAAGATATCTGGATAAGTGGAATGAAATTAATTCAGAAAGACATATACCACATGTTCTCTTTCATGTATGGAAACAAGAAAAATGAACCTTAATATAGAATAGGGATTAGAAGTTAGGAAATGTAGAGGGATGAGTAAATACAGGGATATAAATTTGAACAGTCAGTGTACCATGTGTGAATGTCTGGAAATATAATGTTGAGCTCTAATAATCTGTGCTATAAATCCTTGCTAATGAAGCATACAATTTGAGAATTTATTTAAAAATAATAATCTGGGCCTTAGAATCATGAGATTAAGTAACATGGAAATATTTATTGATTAGTTTGCTTGTGTTGAAACCTTTGAAAGAATATATGTTCAAGATGTTTACATTTTTTAAAGTTGGGGGAAAGGTAGTCACACACTTGTTGGTTGAGAGTGGGAGCTGATACTCTGACACACGGCATGATTGTATTGTACCAGTTCTACAATTTGACAAAAGTAGACGTGAAAATCAATGAAATTGAGCTGTCTTATTTGAAATATAATTAGATAAATACACTTAATATCAGGACTAAGAAACATGATTTTTCTCACATATTTAAATGAGGTCATTTCATTGATAACCTATCATCTGCATTCAAATGAAATTGGGAAAGAGTATTACAATGCATAAAGTCCTCAAATTTGAAAACTTATGTAAAATGACCAATTATTCAGTGATTCTTGCTTGTAACGACTTGAAATTTATTTCAAGACTTATATCATTACTCTGTCCTGTAAGAATGGATAGTATTTTATGACAGTCACTGAGCAGAAAGAGTAATCACTAGAAAATAATTTCCCTTCAGTCATATCTGTAACAGATGTTTGGAATGTTCCAAAAGTTAATGTCCCCTACATATACTTCATAAAGTTGAGAATAAAAAGTAAGGAAAAAAAAAGGAATAATGCTGTGTCCCCTTTGCTAGGAAAGATAATAATCACTTATTCTAATAAAATAAGTATATAAAATGCTATATTGATTTGAGTCTTCATCTTAGAAAATATTTAGAGGAAGTCTTTTATTAGCTCACTCATAGGCATGTGAGAATTAAAGTGTCATATAAATTCTTTGAAAAATTGTACTGTATTTTTAGGGTTTCACACCAAAACTGCAAGTAAAGATGTTATTCATGTTTGGTTTTCTTGATTATGAGAGATTTATACCCACTCATTAGTGTTTTAAAGTTGGAATCATCTAAATTACAATATGGTAACAAATTTACAACAATATTTAATTCAAATATCTATGAAATTTAAGTATTTTTACTGCCAAGAAAATAAAAATTGGCAACTCAGATATTCCATGTTGCCTAAATTGAGCTTCCATTTGGCTAGGAAAATGTTGGAGCATGAATGTGTTTGTGGACTCTAATGTAAATAAGTTTTCAAATATGCAATATCAGATAATTATGAATTTGTATTCTTCTAAGAAAAAATGTGACAGTTATTCAAAAATAATCCTTTGTGACAATATAGCAGAGCAGAATAAAGGCCACTGACCAGCTAGGTTATAATACTCTAAGACTTATTATTTTCTACCACTCCCACTTGATTTTTTGGCATGCTAATGAGTGTCAATAATTATAATGAACAAGTTTCCTTGATGGGTTATCTCATGGTAGAAGTAATGAGGAAGAAATGTGCACAGAGTCAAATGAGATTAAATATTTTTACTGAATTTTGTAATGTATTATGAGCAAACATCCTGTTTCTTCCTATATACCAATATCTACAATTTTAAGGAGCAATTTTTGTAAATAAAGAATATATGTTAGCTTTTGGTGTCATGGGATCTGCAGAGTATGGTCATGTAGGTATGTACCATAGCCATTATTACACATACAGATTAGAATTCAAGGAAATTTTTATTTTAAAAGTCAAGCAATATATTTACATGGTCATAAAAACTCAACAGTAGTTCTTAAATTTATCAAAATAAAATTCAAAATGAGTAGAAATTTTATCAGCAATAAGTACTTGTTAATTACTATTTTTTTCAAATCACGCTGTTTGATCTAAAACATACATCTATGTGTATACAATTGCATCTATATATGTGAGTTTATATTACATACATATTTTAGCACATAATTTCTATCTTCCCAATTAAATTTATAAAAATTACTTGTATTAGCTTTTCTTCAGAGATTATGAAAAATCTAATATGGTAGAAATTTTTATTTTGTTTTTATCTGGCCCATGTACTTAAGATACTGGATTTATTATATATTTTTTAAAGATTTGTACAGGAAAAAAGTGAAAGTACATTTATATATTAGCAATATTCTTGCCTTGTGCTTTTTGTTTATTTTCATATGTTTCTTCTAAAATACAAACCTAAATTCAGTTAAATTTTTCAGTGTATATCTGTTTTAATTTTATAACAGTCTGAATCATCAATAGCTATGAGCTAATATCTACAGCTAAATTTGAAAATTTTTTTTACAATGTTATTCATGTTCACCCTTAATGACAGATAAAGCAAATAGCTAAAATTACAATTTTTTTTTCTACAACCCAAGTGGAAAAGCAGAACCACCACTAAGATCACTACATACCAGAAAAACTGCTAAATCTGAGAAGTATAATATGTAATTTTCTGTTATTTATTCCATTTTATGTACATGTTAGCAGAACTAAAAGACATTAGATCAGTTAACATTGAGTCACACAGCTTTTCATTCAAACTAACAGTAATTTTCCAAAAAACATTAATGTCATGGGCATTGGTATTTATCTGAATGAAACAGCAGAACAAAATGAATTGTGATTTTGTCAATTATAAAT